GAAGCGATGCTGGCTGTCACGGATCACACGCTCATTCCTCATGTGATCAAGCATGTCATCCAGGATGATCTGTTCCATGATCTTCCCAGGCACAGAGGTGAGGTCCTCCTTGTTCCCTGTCTTGTAAATGGGAGTGACATGACCCTTCCTCCAGTCATCTGGGACCTCATCTGACAGCCACAACTTTTCAAATATGATGGAGAGCGGCTCAGCAACCACCTCAGCCAGCTTCTTCAGAACCCTAGGATGCACGCCATCCGGCTCCATAAACTTGTACACATTCAGTCTCATGAGGCAGCCTTGAACCTGCTCTGTCCTCACAGCGGGATTTACCACCGCAGTCCCCAACTAGAGGTTTAGGGATGCAGGGCTCAGGGACGTGAGAAGTACTGGGATCCTGGCTGCCAGTGAAGACTGAGGCAAAGAACTCATTCAGTACCTCAGCCTTCTCATCTATTGAAGCCAGCTCTCCTTTTACATTTACCAGAGGAGGTACACTCATTTTGGCCCGTCTCTTCTGGCCAATGTACCTGTAGAAAGCCTTCCTATTGTTTTTCACATCCCTTGCCAAGTTCAGTTCTGCCTGCACCTTGGCTTTCCTGACCCCACGTTTGCAAGTCCAGATGGCATCCCTCTATTCTTCCCAGGTGACACGCCCTTGTTTCCAGAGCTTTCTTTGCCCTCAGCATGCCCAGCAGATCCTTGCTGAGCCATGCCGGTTTCCTACCACTCTGCCCACTTTCTTATTCAGAGGGAAGAGAGCTCTTGTGCTCTCAGGAAGGCATCCTAGAAGAGCAGCCAGCTCTCCTCAACATCTTTGTTTTTAAGAACAACATCCCAGGGGATTTTGGCCAGCATTTCTTTCAACAGCTTGAAGTTCGCTCTTCCAAAGTTCCGGGTTCTGACCCCACTCTTTGCCAGGTCCACATTCCTCGAGATCACAAACTCAACCAGGGCATGGTCAATGCAGCCCATAATTCTTCTCAAAGGTCCCATAATTCTTTGCATCATTTCAATGGCACTTGCATAGAAGATGGCTCATTCAATTCCAAAACAAGAGAAATGTGGAGGCTAACTGTTCCAGGCAGTATTTTGCTAGTGCATAGTTGTGAATTGTTAACAGTCAAATACTCTTCAGATTTATTCAAGCCAGAAAACTACCACCTACCTGCTAAGGTCACATTTCTTCTGTTCTTCTTTAAATTATGAGCTTCCACAGGGCCAACCTGCTTCATGTTTATTTTCTTTAACACATCAAGCCTGCAGCTGGCAATAACTTTTTGGGTTGTCTGGCTGTGAGCCTCCTGTTTCATCCGCTTCTGTGTTGCCCACTGTTGTTTCTATTTAGCGTCAGTCAAAACCCCAAACTGTATTTCTCCCATCTCTTAGAACAAAATTATTCCTTTGCAGACTTCTGCCAGCACAAACAATACAGCAATAATAATTAAAAAAGGTACTGCTATAAATACTTTTATTGCTGGCATAGGTGATTTACTGCCCACTTAGTTAATCCCTATAAAATAGCACAGCTGAACGCCTCCAAGTTACATGCATACAGATGACTAATTAAATACATAGTTAAATGACTTGACCTGGCACAATTCTGACCATTAAAATCATTAAAGAAATAAAGCTTGTAGTTCCCTGGAGGCAAAGTCGTATAGTGAACAATTTTGATGTTACCATGGCTTGGAGCAATTCAGGGTGGAGGACAGGGACACACACAAGCCAGAGGGACACCCAGCACTTCAGAAGCACCTGCTGACCCCATCTATCAGCCCACCGCCCCAGATCCTTGCTCTGTGCCAGGGAGACGCTGGCAGCAAGACACAGGAGACAGTGGGCCTGAAAAGAAAGTACCTTTAAATATAGAGAGGCCTTGAGGAGAGAATCTGAAAATGGTGTGCTGGACAATTGTCAACCACGTGAATTTTAACTAGAGCGAGTGCCGGATACTGCACCTGGGATGGGAGAACCGTGGCTATACATACAGACAGGACAGGAAGCTGCAGAGCAGCCCTGCAGAGAGGGATCTGGGTGTACTGGCTGTCTGGAAGTAGAACATGAGACAGCAATGTGCCCTGGCAGCCAAAAGAACCAACCATATCCTGGAGTGCACCAAATTCAGCACTGCCAGCAAGCAAGGGAAGGAGTTGTCCCCTCTGCTCTGCACTGTGCAGCCTCACCTCCAGGACTGGGTGTGGGTTTTGGCACCACAGTGTAAGAACACAAAGCTATTCAAAGGAGTGCTGTGAAGATAGTTAAGACTCTAAAGGGGAAGGTATATGAGGATCAGCTGAAGTCCCTGGATGTGCGCAGTGCAGAGCAGAGGAGCCTTATGGTAGCTGCAGCTTCTGACAGGGAGCGGAGGGCAGTGCTGAGCTCTGCTCTGTGTGACAGCGACAGGGCCTGAGGGAACCGCATGGAGCTGTGCCAGGGGAGAGTGGGGGTAAGGAAAAGGTTCTTCACTGGTAAGATGATTGGGCACTGGAACAGGCTGCCCAGGGCAGTGGTCACAGCACCAATCCTGCCCGCTATAATGTCTGGTTCCACTTAGAGTAGGGGATCAATCAGCACCACCAGTGCACATCCCTGTGCTCCAGTGTCCTGGCCTACGCTGGCCTAAATGAGAGGTTTTCCTCTTGATCCTATCTCAGGACTGGATTGTAAGAGCAATGCCCATTTCTGTGGGGAGCTGATAGCAGACCCCTATCATGCATCTCCTTTAAGCCACCTTTAAGCCCCTCTCTGCCTTTCTGCCTCCAGAGCAAACTATGCAGAAGGCATCTGGGGGAGGATGATGAACTCCCCCCAGGAGGTTGCTAGTGGGAAAGTAGGACATATGAAAATATGTTTAGTTGCGCACATTCCTGTTTATTCTGCTGCCTAAAAAGCCCAGGGAAGAAGTGATGAGGGACATGCCAGCTACAACTATCCATCCCATCTCTCTGCTACTTAAGATGTAGTGCAAACACTCCCTAAACACTGTTCCATTACAAGCAATGGTGGTGACTGGTTTTCATGGTGATTTGGCAGATGTGACCCCCGAACACACTCCTGAAATCACAACTTACTTTGCAAGTGTTCGTAACTAGTGAAACTGCCTGCTGAACCACTGCCAGAAAACTTTTTCCTCTGCTTCCCCATCTCAGAATGAGCCAATCACTTCTTCCAGTCTCAGGGTAACTCTATCTCTCCCAGCGTCCTGACAGGCAGGTCAGGAGTATGAAGAACCTCTCTGAGAAGTGTAGCAATCATGTCTCAGGTGGGGACAGACTGCTTATAGGCAGAATGACTACACTTCTTGATCAAAATGCCATCCAACACCAGGTTGGGTGTTGTAGTGATGTGCTATTTGAGACTCCACATAGGGAGGAAATAGAGAGGGAAGTGGTCTGTAACCAAATGAATCATATTTATGCACATGTTCACAAGACGTTGATGAACAGCCTTTGGTAAATGTTTGCAGGAGTATTTGTACCAAAAGTGTCCTTCTGTTTATTGTTTGAATTGTAAATTAATTACATTTCTATGAATATTAGATGATAATGCATGAATGTAAACAGACTATATGTGACATTTACCATCTAATCAGGAAGCTGACACAGTGTCTTGTTCTGAAATAAGAAGTGAATGTCAAATATTCCTTTTGCATTTCTTAGGAGACCCTTACCAGTTACATCTCTTTGCATGCATGTCTCATAGGTGAAACATAAATCTGACTTCAGATAACTTTCAAACAGAAATTAGACTACATTTTTAAAATAAGTTGTGTCTAGTTCAACTGTGAATAGTTTGCCTGCCTCTAATAATAACTGGCCAATGGAGATCAAATAACAAGTATCAGATTCAGTCATGAATCCAGTCTAAAAATAATACCCTTAAAACCTTTTGGGAGTAAACTCCAGTATAGTCAAAGAAATCAAAATTGTCTCTTAGGTAATCTGGGAGCAGAAAATAAGACAAAATATGCTGAATAAATTATTCATTGTGAGTTGTCCCCTTGACTCTAACTTTGACAAGATGCTTCTTAGAGAAGTCCATTTTAAAATAGACAGTGTAAAGTTACTTATGAGGTAAGAAATTGTCTTGGTAAGGCCCTTTTATCAAAGAAGTGCCCTGAATTATCTGCAGAGTCAAACTTATTTTCTATTTCATGGAACGAGTGTAAAGCAGTAGTGAAAAAACCCTACATTTTGTTTGACTGCATATCTTTTTCACCTTTTAATCTCTCCCTTTTCCTTTCTCACTATCCACAGAATGCCCCCCACATTTTCAGTTCCAGATTTGGAACCAAAAGTCCAAGTCCAGTCTCTGATGCTCTTGTTTTCCTCTGCTCACACCAGTTTGCTGTTTGCTCTCCCTAACTGATTTATGTGTATTTCTTTCTGGCTTCTGGATACTATGCACTGGAGTATTTATATCTCTCAACTTTTCTCCTACAAGTTAAATTTTAGTTTGGGCTCGTGAGCAAGAAGAATAAGCAATGTAATAATGTAACGCAGTACATTTTAAAATTACTGCTGCAATGTTTTAATACTATTTGAAAATTCATAATGTAGGCATGCACAGGTTGAATACACATTGGAAAACACAATAAGGAACTGATATAGCATGTGCCTCATTAACAAATCTTTTATCTAGGTATGCCTTTATGCAGCTAGTGAGACTCAAGGCTATGGCAGAGGAGGTACCGTTGCTGTAGGCGGGGAGTGAGGGGCATGGCATGTGGCATGTTTGCTGCTGGGGTGAAAGGCATCCCATGCAGCTGCTTCATGGCTGTGGCATGCTACAAGCTGGTGTTGACATGGTCTGGCTTGCGGCATACCGCAGGGCAAGGGCAGGCATGTGAGAAGCTGCATCTCCGCTGCCCACAGTCTTCCCAGCCCCATCAGCTGCTGGCAGGCTGCCGGGGCGGATGGAAAGTTCAAGGGACATTTTCATGATCTTTCACCTACTTGTCTGCTAGAGCTTCAAGAGAATGGATACAGAAGACCATCAACACCATAAGAAAGTATTCAGCTTTATTAATATACGTGGCACTGAGCACAGTACTTCAGGGTAGTATCTTATGGTGGTACAGTAACCATTTCAGCCTTTATTAGATTGTGGACAAGTCCACAGACATCATTTTAACTAAACAGGAGCTTCTACAGCTGGGGAGTTCTGGGTTCTATGCTCAGAACCCAGGCCTACACACATTCCAGAAGGATGCAGAAAACTCTGCCATGAGAAAAAACAACATGGAAAGATTTCTTGATCAGCCACCAGTTATCTTCTGGTGCCACTCCCAGGAAGCAGGAGCTCATCTGCCTTCATCTTTTAAAGAACAGAAAGCAGCTTATTTTCTGCAATGTTCCTTTGTAGAGAAAAAGGGATGTAAGGTCTCTTGTATCATTAGAAACCCTTAAAAATGCAAGGCATTACACAGTATCATTACTGCATCTTCAGTGGGGACAAAGTTGGCACTCCTGTGCTTCCAGACTAGTACAAGACTGCCAGGAGGTGCGTTCTCCACAGGAGCTGCATCAAAACATGGTTTTATAGAACTGAAGAATCACTGAATCACCAAGGTTGGAAAAGACCTACAAGAACATCCAGTCAAATTGTCTGCCTATCACCAAAAGAGCTCATTAAAGAAGTGTCATATCACATCTAATTTCATCTCAGCCTTCACCTGTTTAACTTGCATTTCCAGAGCTCTTGTATGGACCTAGAACTGAAGGAGAACAAAAAACAAAGGTTGAAAACAAAGGCCTAGAAACTGCACTTTGCATGGAGAATGAGAGGAATTGTGTGGGTGACAAGGAGGTGGATATTGTGGGGTTGCAAAAAGCTCACGTTAGGAAAGACTGACAAGTGAAGAAATCTGCCACTTCTGAACCAGAGAACCAGTACATGGGAAGTTGTTAATGCCAAGCTTGCCCCAACATGTGTAGCGTAGCAGATTTTCAGCTGCATCATCTGCTCCACTGTTGTGTTTTAGATGTTCCATTAATGCCAGGAAACGGGGACAAGTTACTGTACCTAGTAGAAACATTTCTTCCATGGGGTATGCGGTCCGGGACAAGACTGTATAACACCAAACATGTGCTGAGAAAGGTTTACCTGAGATGTGGTCCCCAGTCAGGGAAAGGCCAGACCAGCTTCTTTATAGTTGTTGTTTGAAGATTATAACTCTGGAAAATACTATGCAGACCAATAAAATAAAATAAAATAATTAGTAAATAAAAAAATGTGTAAAGGCACACTGGGGACAAGCATTGGCTGCCATGGGATGGAAGGGCAGGAGGGGCTGGAACTCTTCTCGTCATCCTCTTGTCAATGGTTTATAGAAGCAGGTTCAGCCTGGTTCCATGACTAATGGGGTAGGGGGACCCATGGACCCACACCTCTGGAAAAGGGAAGGAGGATAAAGGGAAAGTATAGGGAGATGGGTCTAAAAACAGAACAGCAGCAATGATCTGAGGAGGAAAGTTAGTTAACTAAATATGATATTGGAATGCAAGATAACACAATACAATACAATACAATACAATACAATACAATTGGAATTGAGGCTAATAAATCAAATAAAATGAGAGACTGTCCAAAAGCCAAAGGCCTTACTCTAATGCTGAAGGAGAGACAGCTAGGAAGCACACACACTGCAGAGATGAGCAGAAAAGGAAACAGGATGTCTGGTGACCTGCGAGCGGAAAGAGGAAACAGAACAGTAAAAAGTCCTCTGGGATATGTAGTTGTTCTCTTCTGAGACAGGTATGCCTGGAACTACCAACAGTCCCCAGAACTAGAGCATTAATGTTTTAACTCCCAGAGCACTACATGATGTTATGATGGAATAACAATAACAAAAGTCATAATACCGTTGACATTCCACCCCTTATTCTACATCACTACATCATGCTTATTATATATATATATATACAAACGAACAATAATTAACTTGCATTAACATACACACACATATATATACACATATACATACATGGAATTACTGACTGCACTTCCCCAGCATCAAATTCCCCTGTGATACACATTGAACATCCTCATTTTTCTGCATCATGCACCAGGTGGACCCAGGTCCCTCAGCAAAAACAGTGCCATGGAGAGATTTGCCCTTTCCAGAAGCTGGTAAGACTCAAACCGCTTTTCCCAACATGCTCTTAACATGTTTTATGGGAACCTTATCTCCCTCTACAGTATGCAGGGAGCTGGATTGGGCAGGACCATCACGACTGATAGATCCTCAAGTATTGACCAATCAAATGTCGTCTGCCAAATGCCTCTCCCAGTGCTTAAATGTTCTGCCACCCATTATTTTCAACATATTTTTTTACAATCCGTTATGTCATTCAATTTTACCAGAAGCTGCATGAAAGGAAATTTGATAAATCCATTCAATGCCATGATCTTTAGCCAAAGTATTTATAAAAGAATTTTTGAAATGAGTCCCATTATCTGACTCAATTTTTTCTGGAGTGCAATGTCATCATAAGACTTGTTTCTTCAAACTTAATATGATGTTTTGGGTAGTAGCATGGGGTGCTGCATGTGTTTCTGGCAACCCAGTGGTTGCCTCCACCATGGTAAGCACATAATGCTTATCACTGCAGGTTCATGGCAAGGTGGTATAATCAACCTGCCACTCATCCCCTTATTTATATTCATGTTTAGCCAGATGTCAGCTAACACCCCCAGATCCTTTTCCTTCATATAGCTTTCTATGCACTCTGCCCTAAGCCGGTAGCATTGCTTACGGTTGTTATGGCTGAAGTTCAGGACCTGGCATTTGGTCCTGTTGAAGCTTGTACAGTTGGCCTCAGCCCGTCAATCCAGCCTATTCAGGTCCCTCTTGCTCTCAAGCATGTGAACGCTTCCTCCCAACTTGGTGTCATCTGCAAACATACTGAGAGTACACTCAGTCTCCTCATGCAGATCAGCAATAATGATGTTAAACAGGACTGGCCCCAACACCGACCTCTAGGGAACACCACTGGAGACTGGTCATCAGCTGGATTTAATTCACCAACACTCTCTGGGCCCAGTCATCTAGTCCTTGTTCTTCACCTGAGGGACCTAAGTACTCTTGGGATAACTGATCTGACTTAAAGACAAGAGGAAAGAAGACATTGACTACCTCAGCCTTTTTCTTACCCTTGATGCCAATATTCCCTGTTGCATTCAATAGAAGATGGAGATTCTCCTTGGCCCTCTAAAAATTTTATCTTATACAGTGGTGGCCAGAGTAAATTTTAGCTGGGTTCTGCCTCTCTTATTTTCTTTCTGGATATCTTAGCAGCATACTTGTGCTATTTTTGAGTTGCCTACCCCTTCTTTCAATAGTGGGGAACTCTGTATTTTTTTCTCAGACTCTGAGCAAAAGCTGCCTGTTCAGCCAGGCTGATCTTCCACATTGGCTCATCTCACAGCATGCAAGAATGGCCTGCTCATGTGCCTTTGAGATTTTCATCTTGAGGAATATCCAGCCTTCCTGGACCCCCTTGCCCTTCAATGAGGTCTTCCAAGGGACTCTCCCAATCAGTGTCCAAGGCAGACCAAAGTATACTCTCCAAGGTCCAAGGTAGTAGTCTTGAATCACAAGAATTGAAAACTCTATCATTTTGTGGTCATTCTGTCCAAGACAGCTTCCATCCACCATATCTCCCATCAGTCCTTCTCTGTTCATAAACAGCAGGTCTAGTAGGGCATCTCCCCTGGTAGGCTTTCTTTCCAGCTGTGTTAGTTTTGTATCCATATTTTTATTGTTCATATTCTTTATTTCTGCACCCCAATACAATACCCCAATGTTACAACTTGAAAAGCAGCAAAACATGGTGCCTCGACTATTTGCACAAAAGGACTATTTGAACAAAAGGACTTTCTCACTTGGAAATCCAGTGTAAATACTGCAAAAACTCACTCTAGTATATGCAGCTCCCTGGAACAGCCACTTACATACCACACTAATAGCCTAGGTGTCTTTCATCCAGTATATGCCCTTGCAAAGGGCACAAAGGTTACATGTACAGAGGAGACCAAAGTCAGTCTGTGGCTGCTGGGTGGCTTTCCAGAGGCCCAGACAGTGTTTTTGTGCTCCTGCAATCAGTCAGAAGGAATGCAGTGTCTGTTTTAATATTGATGTTGAGTTTCTTATGACTAGAAGGCAATATGGTTCAAGGAAATCGGTGTTCTCTCTTTTCCTTGTCCCTCCCCAAATCAAACATCTAGGGAGGGCATGTTGTGTCTTTCGGCAGAGCATAGACAGGGAGGCTCCTAGGCATTAAAAAAGAAATAAAATAAAGAAGAGATTAAAATGACAAAATAATATCCTTAGGTTCTTCATCTCTTCTCTCTTCCCCTCCCACATACTACTCCTCTATTAGATTTTCCAATAAGATCAGTTATTTTTTTGTCCCCTGCAGCCCAGATCTCCAGACACAACACTCAGCATTTCTGATGATCTCATAGCAGTCTCCACAGCAAATGATAATGGCCTCAGAATTCACCAATTTTTGCTAAAATCATTCCCTTGCTGTTTGGCATTTGGAGAGCTGAATTATGTTTTTAAAGCAGCACAAGGATAGCAGAAGTGCTCCTCTTTTCTCTTCGTCTTCCAGAGGAGAAGCTCCAGCATGAGAAGGGCAGAATCATCCCTTTTCCCAGTCCCAATTCACAGCATCCCCTCTCTGCTGCAAGCAGGGAATACAAAGCGCTAGCAGCAAATTGACATTGGGCAGCCTTCTACATCTTCATGGGTGACCCCAGCACAGACTAAAAGCTTTGCCCCAAAGCTCCCTTTCCAAATACATACGCATCTATACAATTCATATACAGGCCTTTAAGTTTTCAGCTGAGTTCATTCTCAGAGCATTAGCCACATATTCCCAACTGCTGTTAGTATTTAAAAAGATCTCACCAAGGCAAGTGGTCCTTAAATAGGGATGCATTTTCATTATTTTTCATTATTTTTAACAACACAGAAACAAATCAGGAACCTGTTGTCTTTGAAATCTGCAGGAATGCTGGTATGCATCCAGGATGGGGACAGGCTAACCGTGCACGTTCCTCCTTCCCACTGTCAGTCTGCGACAAATTCACCCCTTCAGAAAATGAAGCTTTGTTCATTGTATCTCAGGCTCCAAATACTTCATTTACTCAGACAAGAGAGCAATACATTGAGAAGCTCTGAACTGCGTCAGCTTAGTTACTGTTTTTATTAATTAGTAAAATAATTTTTTTATGTCCCAAGATGTGTATTATTCAATCAATGTCAAACAAAACTGCCAGAGAAACTCTTCCAACTCATTGACACATTAATTACACCTTTTCAGACTGCAACATTTTAGATTGAAATTTTTCAATCTAAAAACTGAAGTTTTTTCAAAATTAAAATTTTTGAAAGCCTTGTTTATTTTATTAGAATATTAGGGATCTTGGGTTTGACCCGCAGAATTTCTGCCTCATCTTTTATCAGCCACAGGCAGTGAAGTATTGAATAAAGAAAGAATGATCACAGATTGGGACACCATGCTTGGGAAACCAAGTCCCTAAATATCTTAGAGTGCGAACAGGAGAATCACAGTTTTTTCATTCATTGAGCAAGACAAGAAACTGAATCTTGCTTGTCTCAAAGTACATTTATATTTGTTTCCACAGAAATTAACATCGAAGAAAATAGTTTCTTCTGTACAAAACGTGAATTTGAAATTAAACATATAATCATTTTTGTGATCTATCTGAATGTTTAAAAGTCAACAGGAAGTGAAAATTCATCTTCTTGTCCTACAGGAGGAGGCTGGTGGTGCCTTAGCCTCAGCTCCGGCCAGCTGTACTCTGCTCTCCCTGTGGAAAGCACCTGCATTTTCCCCCATGCTTCACTCAGTATATAGAATGAAATTTAATTTTATTTTCCAGATGAATTTGCTTTTTTTTTTTTGCTTTTTTTTTTTTCTTTTTTTGTCAGATCAAGTATACTGATTTTTAAAGATGGGAAAAATTTTACATTAAATGTGTGTTCGTAACATGACATAGAAGAGAGGTGATTTGGGCAAAGGATTTCATCCAGGAGCAGTAACTTTATATTCAAGATCATAAAGCAGAAGAAAGTGGAGAATGAACACTTGAAAAAAATATTCAGTTGATACTATAGCAAACTTTGTCCCTTGGGTCAGATAAAAATGGGTTAC